TCCATTATCACACAAGTGATGTCTTGAGTCTGTTGTTGTGAGGCGTTCTGCGTCATCTGTAGGCAATTGATAATGGTCTCTGCCATGATCTTCACGATGGTTTGCAGCTGGACCTCGGTAAAACTGTATAGCTGGTGAGTAGATTCCGAAAGTAAGTGTTTTCTGCTCATTTGCACTTGCTGGACTTCTGCAACACTTTCGTGTAATGTCTGATTCGGAATTGACAGATTCGGGAAATTTTGCTCTGTGAGAGCGGGTGGCTGTTGTGGCTGTGCACGAGTGTTCCAGACGTTGGTGTTGGTGGATGTACCGCTGGTCAGTGTGTTGACCCTGGCCTGAGCTGTCTGCACTTTTTGTTTCCGTGCAGAGCAGGTTGTGCTCCAGGCATGATGTTTGCCTCCACAATTTGGACATTTGGCTGTTGTGGTCTGGTTTGCCTTGTGCTTGGCAATACAGTCTTTGGTGGGATGTCTCAGGCTGCACACTCCGCACCTCTCCTGTCCTGTGCAGCGTGACTGATGGTGGCCGTATTTCTGACACCTGAAGCAGCGTAGGGGTTCCGGGACGTATGGCCTCTGTCGGTATGTCCCCCAATTTCCAAGACCGAAAGTTTCCGGCACATGTCCCATGACGGTCACCAGAACCTGACGCGTCGCTGCCTTGTCTACTTTTGTGTGGCAACGTTCCGCACTGAGGACTTGCTTGTGTTCTAGCACTGGATCCAGGGGAAAGTCGATTGGGTATCCCAAAAGCACGACTCGTGTGCGTCGTTCTGAAGGGTCCAGCTTTACCAAGCACACAGGTTTCCCCTGCAGGACTCTTACCTTCTCTAAGTAATGTGCAGTCTGTTGGTCTTGAGGTGTCAGTATTATTTCTCCCTTCAGGTTGACTGTAATGGAAAGTTTGAGCTCTGGTTGTTCTTTTTCCATCGCCGTTACTACTCCATATGCTGTAGGAAAGTGGTCGGTCTGCATGATCTTGAATTTCGGAAGAAATGCAGAGGCTGGCGATGTCTGGTGTGAGACTGGTGGTGTCCTCCCCTGTCCCATACTGCTGTCCTGCGGCTGGGCTGTGGAGAGAGGAACAATGGCCGACATTGGCTGGCGTGAAACCGGTGGTGTCCTCTCCTGACTCATACTGCCGTCCCGGGGCAGCGTTGCGGACAGAGAAGCATTGACTGACACTGGCTGGTGTGTGACTGACGCTGTCCTCTCTAGGTCCATTACGTCCGCTGACTTGCTGGTAGAAGCAAGTGGTAAAGCCTCGATAGCAGTTTTCTTTGGGGCCTGCTGCACATCGGTCCCCCGTCCTTCCTCGTCCGAAAGCTGCTTCCATTCCCTCTTGCGCTGAGCCTTCCCCATGGCTCTCTACACGTAGTGAGAACCGACTCAAACCACCGGAGCAGCAGGCGACACGTCCTCACTGCACGGTAGCTCAGGAGCAACTCCACTATCCACTATCAACTGGCAGGTTAATAGTAGCCATAAGATACAGCTTACGCCATCTGTTGACATCAAATTACACTTATAACAAATTACCCCACAAAATACAACTAACGCCATCTCTCTTTTTTCCAACGCACTATAAATAGCCAAACAGCAACCCATAAGGCGGGTTGTTGTGCTCGGGTAGGAGGTTCCAAGCTCCGCCCACAGATGGTATGGGGTGCATAATAAATGGCATATCATTGGTAGATATTCTTTGTTGACATTCACACAACAGCCAATCACAGGAAGGGATCAGCTAAAGGTGCCATCCACTTAGTAAATCATCTTAGTTCAGCCCACCAGTCCTGCTTATGGAATTCTGCTTTAACTTTAATTTACCGAAAAAGTGAAGTGTTAATTATTTAAAGTGTCAATAAAGTGATAATTAAATACTACAGGATGTAACGGATGTTACAGAAAAATGGGCTGGCTACCTAACTTGTGACGTTATTATTGGGGGTTGCCTTGACCCAAATAATGATACACTGCTCTGTCCTCTTATTCCAGTAAATTATTCAGTTAGATGGAGATTTCTGTCAGGTGCAAAACAGAAATTGTTGTTCTTTTTCACAACAACCTTGTTGTTGTGCACAAGGACCTATTTCTTAGTTAAAATTTTATTCATAAAAGAAAGTTGGTATTCCCCGCAACAGCCAATCACAGGAAGGTATCTCTGGAAGCTCCGCCTCCTTATGGACTCAGCACATCGCTCTAGCTCATGGCTCGCTGTTTCATCTCTTGTATATACAAACTATAACTTTTTCGATTACTGTTATAATTAATAATATGAGATATAAAAGTTTTTACACAAAATGGCTAAATTCTGCCATTAAATGGACTTTGTCTGGTATACATACAAACATACACCAATTTATTACCATTCATCCACTATTAATTTCAATTGTAATGTATACTGTCTAGTTTTTTCCTCTCGTCATTACTTGGTGCAATATTTGAAAGTTGAATATTTATTTATCGATTTATCTATTATCTTGTATTTATATTTACAAGTTTCTGTGCTTGGAAGAAACCTCTGCATTGAATTGGGACTAATTTATTAAATAATATTATTTAGTATTAATTAATATTTACAATTATTATCAATTACAATTATTTATAGCTTAGTTACTTTCATGTAACTCGCAATTGTACATTCTTAACTTTAATAACCCAAATTAGCACATCTTGCTTTTAAATTAGCCCAAAAAGTAGCAAGTAGCGAAATTAAAAATTTGGGAGCGCGGGGCTCTCAAAAGTAGCCCAATTCGCTATTTGTAGCCCAATCTGGCAGCACTGTTAGTAGTAGTAGTATTTTTATCATCATTATTATTATTATTATTGGAGTATCACCTCCGGTGCAATTGTAGGGACCCATAGCCTCGGAGAAAGGAATAAAGAGAAAAATCAACACAATCACAGAAACACTTGCCGTTTGACTCTAAATTCACATGAATATTAGCTTCTCCTACCACCCCTTTTTATTATTATTATTGTTATACACATTATTATACAAGGTTACACAGTTACATAGCTGATTAGTTACAAAATGTGGACATTAAGAGGAAATAAAAGGAAGTTTATTTCCTATAGTCTGTAGATTTCTTCGAACTCCTCCGACGCCGGGCAGGACCCGAGGATGCAGTGGGCGTTCCCCCTCTGAATCGCCACACTGAGGCGCTGGAAGAGAAAGCTGCTCTTGGGTCTCTCTTTGTTTCGGTAAGCCTGGAATCAAGATCCTTGAGAAACCTCCTTGCACTCTCTCCCCATGGTGTCAAGGTCTTGGATCATATTGGAACAAAGTTATAATATATCAAAGAGCAAAAAGAAACAAAGAGTTAAAATAATAATAAGAAATAAAAAAATATAATGTTATATTATTATTAGTAGTATTATCATCATACTTATTTTTCTGTTTTGAGAATAATTGAGGGCAATTGCACACATTTGACATTTTAAATTAAGTCTTTTAATATGGAAATTTGACAATATTTGTTATTATTATTAATGTATTCATTTTATTATTATTAATGTATTCATTGCAATGTGCTGCAACCCTGTTCTGTATAAAGGATTACAGTGTGTAAATAAGTCTCCGTGGTGTAGTGGTAAGACACTCGCCTGGCGTTCCGCGAGCGCTATGTCATGGGTTCGTATCCTGGCCGGGGAGGATTTACTGGGCGCAATTCCTTAACTGTAGCCTCTGTTTAACACAACAGTAAAATGTGTACTTGGATGAAAAAACGATTCTTCGCGGCAGGGAATCGTATTCCAGGGACCCTTAGGATTAAGGACTTGCCCGAAACGCTACGCGTACTAGTGGCTGTACAAGAATGTAACAACTCTTGTATATATCTCAAAAAAAAAAAAAACTAGCTGCATGTTTATCTACTATCCTCGTCTCACAGGATGGTTAGTCATACATGGAGTCAGGAGAGAACATGAAATGCGAGCCTAATCTTGCAACCTGTCCTGAGGTCAGGTCCATTAAAGTTGCATAAAGCTGATACATTCTTAAAGTTATATGTGTAGTTAGATATTCGAACAGAGGGTGTAAGTGAAGCACTGTTCGAAAAATGTTCAAACGTCATCAGTTGTGAGTCATTTTTATCAGTTGTAAATCCATTTTCATTCATAATCGGGAGTTCTGGCAGTTGGATCAATGAGCATTTGGCCTTTGCTGATGCACATTGGCTAAATTTATTAGCCTGCACTAGCAAAATCTGAGTAGAACAAAAGAATATAATTACACTTACTGGTAGGTAATTATACAGACAAGTATGTAATAACCCTGCAACTGAACTAGATATTTAAATTTGTTATCAAAACCACATCTCCAGAAATTAGGGATTACATAAAAGCAATAAATGACAAAGGCTATACTAAATTTAGTATAAAGAGTTTTATGTTTTGAACTGAAAACTAAATTGACAAGCAGCATAAATCACCCACCAGTGTGACATTGTAATCGCGTGAATTAGGATGGGATTTCGTTATTTACGGTAGGTAATGAGTTTTCTAACAGTGAGCACTTTAGTTGTAAACTGATGTTTACATCATTAATTTCAGATAATCTGGAAAAGATTATCAAGGCAAATGGGGAGGGGGGACCTTCAACAAGCTGCTAGCTTGTTGTATTGTATATACAGTATTACTACTGCCATATTCTTCTACAGTGACATCCAGCTGGAGCAGACTAAAACTGCAGTATCAAGATAATAGCAGAGACTGGCCAACTTATTAGTGAAAACGCCTGAGAAATGAAATGTACAGAAATGTGCATTTACCCTTAAGGGTCAATAATATCAATAATGATAAGGGTCATCTTCAGGCAATAATCATAATTCAAGGGTCCTGGTAGTACAATCAGGTTCATTCTCGACACACAATCGAGGAAGGAAGGTCATGGGTGTTAAAGTCACATCTGATGGTACGTAATTTGTGTTTGGTAGTTGCCAGCTATCTACCTATCCAGCGATGCAGATAGCATTAATGACGGATACAGTAAATAACAAATGAGGTTTTATGCTTTAATGAAAGAATAATGGATTTTATATTTAAAATTAAATACAGTAGAGTAATGAGATTTCAATGAATCATGAGGTTATATATTTCTATAACAAACAAACTTGCCGAAGAGGGACCTTTGACAAGCCAGCTTCGATGAAGACAGGAAGCTGTCCTCGTCGAGGCCACTAGTGTTAGTGGCTCACAGGTAAAAGCTTATTTCAACAGTTGAATTAGACAATGGTAAATAATACTGCTGTGTCATCTGCATAGAGCGCTGATTAGCATGCCCTCCCAGTTGCCTTATATTTTCTCCTTCCAATACTTTAAACACCCTTACTTAAAATGTCAAAAGTTAACAATTATATATGCAACAAAATACATATGTTAAATAATTTACTGGAGGTACAGTATTAGCCAATCAATATTACAAACAATATGAAAGGAAAAGAGATTGCATTTTTCTTCATTAATTCAATTTTTTTTTTACTAAAATTCCTTTGATATGATCAGCTACATTCTGGAATTATATAATTATTTATGCACTCTAATTTACCATATTTATCTGTATTGATTACCTTTTCTTCTGTTATTTCCAATGTTAGGCATTTTACACTTTGTAATTTTTTTGCAAGTTAATATCTCCTTCACTAAGTGCTTGCTTACATGATGTAAGTAATTATCAAAAGAAGGCACCAAGCCTGAACATAATGCAAGAGATATTCCAGTATAGTATCTTCATATAATGCTTTAGAGGACTACCCAAGAATGCACTACAACAGTAAATGTACTAAGCTATCAGTAAGAAGTTACACCTTGTGACTTTCTGTCTTAATGATGTAATATTTCACAATTATCATGTGTACCTTTAGTCTCATATCAACTGAAGTCGAACAGTTTATTAAATAGCAAATTTCCTTCACAATTTTCTACTGGCATCCACCAGTTTCCACAATGTTAGGTTTACCTAACTGACCGAGGAAACTTGCATTTTTTTTACAAGCAAGTCTCTGTAACCTATATTCAACCAATATGCAACTACAGATACAGTACTTCTATAATCTAAGAGGAAAAGCCATCAGCACTCTCAAGCAGAATATCAATTATAATCTATTAAACAACTGTTGTACTCGCCTAGTTGTGATTGCGGGAGTTGAGCTTCAGCTCTTTGGTTGCCTTTGGTCTTTTTCGGTGTGGGATGCGTCCTGAGAAAGGTTAGTAATTTGCGTATGGGAACCCCTACTAATCCTAACAAGCTTCCTGTCCCCTATCTTTGGAAACAGGAAGCCTGTTAGGATTTTTTTGGGGGGCCATTATGAGGTCATTCCCTCTGTAAAAATATTAATCAAACCTCATGTGAGAGGGATTCAAAATTTGGCTTAATTCTCCCAGCAAGGAGTCAAACCGGAGGGTACAAGGCACTGCAGATCAATGGGGGTGCAGGCTCAGGGATTTGGGTTCAATTCTGTCATACAACCTCAATATTTATTCATAGATTCATCACATTCTGGTGATTTCATTGTGCATGAACACAAGGTTTATCTCGGCAGATGGAGCACTTGTGACTGTCTCCTATCCCTTTGATCAGAAGGGAGAAGGGTTTTGCAAGCCACACACTACTGCCTTCTGGTATGTTGGAGCACACGATTGTCTCCACCATGAAAAGGCCGTGCTCCAAGAGATGGAGTACCAATTACAATTTTGTATGGAGCCTGGTGACGAGGTGCTGTCGAGTGCACGTTAATACATTACAAATAATAAAATTCCATTAACTGAATATATTTTCCAACATTAATAGCAACTGTTTTTAAGCAGTGGATAACGTGCACATTGCTCAGACAAGTTAAACTCTTTGGTACTCATAATCACAACTCTTAATACCTATACACTGTGATATTAATGTGATATTGAAATGTCATCTTGAGATGTCTGTCAAACTTTAACTACTCCGAAAATTGTGAATAAGCTGAATATGGATGTCAGATTGGCCGAGTGTAGACCAAGTTATTCTGAACTTGTAAAATTTTTCACTGTGTAATTTCATGCTCCCAGAAGTGGTACTATTCACAAGTACCTTCAGAGTCTCTATCAAGGATATATCTTGTCTGTCCATTCTTTATCAGAAAGAAACTTCTCCCATATTATTGGAAATTTTGGTCTAATATCTTCCACAGCTATTTGTTCTTTTTCAAGTTCTTCACTCAACCATTGCAGAAAACCTTTTCCCATTTCCTGAAAATATATTAGTTATTAATATCTAGAAAGTTTCAAGGCAGTACAGGTATTCACATATCCTATGCCACTATGTAAGTGAATGCAAAAACCTTAAGAACTTATACATAATTCCATCACAAATGTTCAAGAGATGTGCATTTAATTCAAAATTATGTACCACTTTAAAACTTAGTCAAGTAACCCAAGTTTGTTGACTGTAAGTAGTGCATGCTGGCAAGTATAAACCTTCGACTGCCATCCACTGGATGGGTGATGGGGGCATGATAAGCAAATATAATTTACATGTAACTAGCTCACCACAAATACTGTACAGTATAAATTGCTTAACTTAGAGATTGTTGTGGTACAGTTCTTGAACCCAATATATGTGACATTGAAACTTTACTACCACTCGCACACAAGAGTGAGAGAGAGAGAGTGTGAGTGAGTGAGTGAGTGAGTGAGTGAGTGAGTGAGTGTGTGTGTGCGTGTGTGCGTGTGTGTGTGTGTGTGTGTGTGTGTGTGTGTGTGTGTGTGTGTGTGTGTGTGTGTGTGTGTGTGTGTGTGTGTGTGTGTGTGTGTGTGTGTGTGTGTAAAAATCACGAAAATTAACAAGTGATGAAAAAATTTGACAATGTCAGACCACGGAGGCAGAATTGAAACAGGAATTTTATACATCTTCAGAAGGAGTGAAATGAAATTTCATTCCTTCTGAATAAATAAATAAATAATATTATATATATATATATATATATATATATATATATATATATATATAAGCCAAACATGTATAATACACCCTGGCTTCCTGTCCCCCGATAACGGAATATTATTATTATTATTTTCAGCTGTTAATCATTGATATGTAATTGTCTTTCAGAGAAATATTTTTTTTTTTTAATATACAGTATTTAATTTACAGTATAATATAAATTATGTTTTGTTTGATAAACTTGTGCCTATGAAGGAGAGACTAGTTCTCTAGCTACAGCCCAAGAACAATTAATGTCTCAAATACTTAAACACATATGAAATGTGGGGACAGGCATGTGGCTTCTGATGTAATTTTTGTTAACTAATATTATATACTATACTGTATTTTGTTTTACATATTACATATTATTAAATACCTGTATAATTATCACATAATAAATAAACTGGGTAATAAAATTTTATAAAAAACAAGACCAGTCAAGCTGATATACGTGTTCAGTCAAGTTTGTGGACATTACGATGTGTTGCATTTACATTTGGCTTATACTGTTTACATGAAGCCCAGATTATGTAACTTGGCTTCTGGGCATCACTGCACTTCAGTCAGTAACCACAGTATATGCATGCTAAGTACAAGATTTTAGCCGTTAACTTAATAACATTACATGGTGATTTTAATACTGACCAATAATCTATATATAAAACTTAAAAATTTTGTATGTGAACTAGTAGAAATAACTGGGCGAGATCCACTTTGTATACAAAGTGTCTTGTATCCTTACCTTCCATCTTTGCAAATAAGAATCTGAGAACTTGAGCCAATTCTGAATTTCCTCTAATCGTGTGCATGTTGAGCAAATACCGTCTTCTAAACACCAATTTTGCGGCTTCTTATTGGATGTAAAACAATAAACTGCTTTCTCCCTCAAAGCCCTGATGATTATGTACCAGAAGGTTTTGGATTTGGCCATTCCAATGGTTTCTTCATTCTTATTTAGAAAATATAAAACTTCACCTTCTTTATATAATTCACTTCGCACCTGTAATCAAAATAAATCATATGAAGTTCATCGAGACAAAATTTAATTGTACAAAACTGGTATATACAAAAATAAAAAACATAAGCATATATGTGCTGTAACATAAGTACAGTACTAAATATTATATTTTTATACACTCATCCACCAGCCCTTCAACAGAACAGTATCTGTAATGTCTACTCACAGACCTACCAACATAGGATAAAAAACCCACACTTGTGTATTTGCGAGAGTTATGTAAAGAAATTTCACCAAGTCTTTCACACTCTCCTGAGTGCTTTGTCAACTTCTGAGTGTGTGGATAGGACGAGACTTACATCTCGACATTTGATTAGATGTTAAGATGTAAGTCTCGTCCTAATCACATACTCAGACCTTGACAAAGCACTCATGATAGTGCAAATGACTTGGTGAAATTTCTTTACATAAATCTCACAAATACAGAAGAGTGGGCTTTTATCCTACACTACAGTACCATCCACTCATCCCAACCCCCCCTCACATACTCCTTGCATAACACCTGGCCCCCCCCCCCCATCATACACCCACCCACATCCTCACTATACCCCACACGCACAGATCATTACATCCAATATACACACACAAAAAGTATGAGAGGTACGAGCTATGAGGAAAGACTACAGGACCTAAACCTCCCGTCCTAGAAGACAGAAAAGTAAGGGGAGACATGACAACAACCTTCAAAATTCTCAGGGGAATTGACAGGGTGGACAAAGACAAACTATTTAGCATGGGTGGAACACAAACAAGGGGACACAGGTGGAAACTGAGTACCCAAATGAGCCACAAAGACATTAGAAGGAATTTTTTCAGTGTCAGAGTAGCTAACAAATGGAATGCATTAGGCAGAGATATGGTGAAGGCAGACTCCATACACAGTTTTAAATGTAGATTTGATAGAGCCCAATAGGCTCCAGAATCTGTACACCAGTTGACTGACAGTCGAGAGGAGGGACCAAAGAGCCAAAGCTCAACCCCCGCAAGCACAACTAGGTGTGTACACACATATCATTACATCCCATTCACACAGAGATCATTACATCCCATACACACACACACACACACACACACACACACACACACACACACACACAGTGCCTCTGGCAATGATCTTTAATGAGTCACTTATGTCAGGAGAATTGCCCAGTTGCTGGAAGAAGGCAAATGTCGTGCCGATCTTCAAGAAAGGAGATAGGGAGGAGGCACTTAACTACAGACCTGTATCACTGACAAGCATCCCCTGTAAAATACTGGAAAGAATAATTAGGCTACGACTGGTTGCACACCTGGAGAACATTAGGTTTGTGAACAAACATCAACATGGGTTCTGGACAGGGAAATCGTGCCTAACAAACCTTCTGGAATTCTATGATAAAATAACGAGGATAAGACAGGACAGAGATGGTTGGGCAGACTGCATATTTCTGGACTGCCAAAAAGCCTTTGATACAGTACCGCACATGAGACTGCTGTTCAAGCTCGAGAGGCAGGCGGGGGTGGGGGGAAAGGTCCTAGAATGGATAAGGAACTACCTAACAGGAAGGAGCCAAAGAGTTACGGTAAGGGGCGAGAAGTCGGACTGGCGAACAGTAACAAGTGGAGTACCACAAGGATCGGTGCTGGGACCAATTCTATTTCTTGTGTATGTTAACGACATGTTTACAGGCGTAGAGTCCTACATGTCGATGTTTGCGGATGATGCAAAGTTGATGAGAAGAGTTGTGACAGATGAGGATTGCAGGATCCTCCAAGAGGACCTGAACAGATTGCAGAGATGGTCAGAGAAATGGCTACTAGAATTCAACACGAGCAAATGTAAAGTTATGGAAATGGGACTAGGAGATAGGAGACCAAAGGGACAGTACACAATGAAGGGGAACAGCCTACCTGTAACGACGCGTGAAAGAGACCTGGGGGTGGACGTAACACCTAATCTATCTCCTGAGGCACATATTAATAGGATAACGACAGCAGCGTACTCTACACTGGCAAAAGTTAGAACATCATTCAGAAACCTAAGTAAGGAGGCATTTAGGGCGCTTTACACTGCCTACGTAAGGCCAGTCTTAGAGTATGCCGCCTCATCATGGAGTCCCCATCTGAAGAAGCATATAATGAAACTGGAAAAGGTTCAGAGGTTTGCAACGAGACTCGTCCCAGAGCTACGAGGGATGGGGTATGAAGAGCGCCTGAGGGAACTGTGCCTTACGACACTAGAAAGAAGAAGGGAGAGGGGGGACATGATAGGAACGTATAAGATACTCAGAGGAATTGACAGAGTGGACATAGACGAAATGTTCACACGGAATAGTAACAGAACGAGAGGACATGGATGGAAGCTTGAAACTCAGATGAGTCACAGAGATGTAAGGAAGTTTTCTTTTAGCGTGAGAGTAGTGGGGAAATGGAATGCACTTCAGGAACAGGTTGTGGAAGCAAATACTATTCATAATTTTAAAACCAGGTATGATAGGGAAATGGGACAGGAGTCATTGCTGTAAACAACCGATGCTCGAAAGGCGGGATCCAAGAGTCAATGCTCGATCCTGCAAGCACATATAGGTGAGTACATATAGGTGAGTACACACACACAGATCATTACATCCCACACACACACACACACAGATCATTACATCCCATACACATATAACACACACAACTACATTCAGGTTATTACACACACATCCCATATTACACCCAACACATACACACCCCTCACTATACCCATCACATGTACACGCCCTCACTACACTACATACAACATATACACCCCCTCACTACACCCAACACACCCCTCACTACAATTGAGGGGTGGGACCAAAAAGCTGAAGCTCAACCCTCTCAAGCACAACTGGGCAAGTACACCCAGCACACACTTGACCTTTACTACACCTAACACACACTTGACCTTCACTACACCTAACACACAGAATCCCCCTTCACTACTACCCCACACTATCACCCATAGCTTCCCTCACCCCTATACACACAGCTCTGTATTCAAAACAAGACAATACTTCCTGAAGATAATGATAGGTAAGGATTTATAAGCACTAACACACAGTGCATACTGTGCTGCAATGCATCTATATGTTGCAAGGTAAGTTATTATGTCTAACACAGATAAATATCACTAACCAGTATTTACATGAAAATTTGCAAGATTAACCCCAGGACTGAGCAGCTATATAAAAGTACTGTACTATACCTAGGTGCATATGACTAAATAGTTAACAAATCAAATGAGAAAAATGACATGACAATTGAAGCAGTGTAATGGTTAAAGCTTTTATCAAAATCTACAATTTGTATTAGTACCGTGCTAGTAACATGGGAAAAACACTTTGTTTAAATAAGTTAAAGTTCGAGTCCTTCAAAGCTGAACACTCAAACTTCAAACAGAATTGCAGTTATTTCTCATAGAAAACAATAATTTCAAGAAATTGATTGCATTCTTATGTAGAACATGAAAGAATGCTAAAAACACACCTTTTATTTGAACCCCAGACCATGTTAGAGTACTAGGCAGGCAAAAATCACTTACCATTTGTCTCCCTCCTCTCAAGGAGTGAGCACTAAGAACTCAAATCATAGGATAACAACAACGGACATTTGCTACTATGTGATTTAAAACACAAGGGACAAACAAATTCTATTTCAAATGATTCCTCTCTAGATCAGGCATCAACTACCACAGCTAGAGAATCTGGAACAGGAAACAAAAATTAAAGTCTAAAGATTTGCTTTGATGATGAAATGTACCTACCCACCTTAAGGAAGGTAAAGAATATTAAATTTGGATTAAGATCATTAACTTTTTAATAAAGTTGGCTGAACTCAAAACATTATTTGGCAAGATAAATACGAAAAGAACGTAATGATATAAAATTTACACACACAGGGTACTATTTACTGTTAGGTGAACAAAGGAATTGGGTGAAAGGAAACTTGCCTACTAATTTCTGTTCCATCCGGGATCCCTGACTGTGCACAGAGAATGACGCAAACTGTACTACAAGACTTGACTATGTAAATGTACTTCCTTAGCCTGCTCCAGTAACCCCTCCACACTTAACACTGGTAGCTACCGTACCTTTATTATCTGCTCAGTTTAAATCCTTCCACAATGTTGACAATCATTTTAACATTTAGTTCCTGTTACAATAAATCTACCCATTATTTTAAGTTAAATTATAAACTTATGTAAGAGGAGGAGGAGAAGAGGGATGTCCTTGTTTTTTGTGACCCACATGCACCTAACTTTCTCCGCAATTCAACAACCTATATAACAGTATCACTTATTCAACAACCTATATAACAGTATCACTTATTCAACAACCTATATAACATATAACAATTCAACAACCTATATAACATATATCACTTTCCCCCATCTGCCAATAACATACTGTATAACAAACATTTTTTTTTTACTTTTATACTCACTAAAGAGTGGTTTACTTTCCATCTTGGAATTATTTTCTCTCCAATCTACTCCCTACAACAGTGGTTCCCATCTTTTTTTTTTTTTTGGTGGGGGTTGGGGGGGGGGACAGCCCTATTTTCTAACACTCAAAAGACCCTCAAAGGGGGGGTTACGACCCACTGCTCTCCAGCCACATCTGCACACCTTCGGTATAACATAATCCTTATACCCGATGATTTCTTCCCCCCTTCATCAGAACGTAATGCTACATGAAATTTTTTTCTTTGCAGCTTACCTTAGTCTGGTGTTGTAATACATCTTTTGCTTCAATTATTGAATAAGCAGGAGAAGTGAAGCCTAATGCAGTTAAGAGGTTGAGGGTGTGGTGTGGAGGTAGTGCAAGAAGGCTAGACTCTTCATATTCACTATAAACTGGAGTGAATGAGATAACATTGAGCTGAGGTTTATCCAAGTGGCTGAGGTTAATAATATGCTGGTTTTCAGGCTGGAGAAGTTCACACACAGCAGTGCACTTGGTATAGTGTAAGAAACTGAACATCAGCTGCCGATGCTTAGCATCCAGATCATTCAAAGTGTCCCACAGTGATCTAGCCACAACCTATGGAAACAATTATCAGTATAAACATAAACATTTATACAAAAACCATTAGAGAGAGCTTGAAAAAGTATATATTTATGTAGCAGTGAATTTAATATTAACCATTAAAAAATCACACCAGATAACCACAAGATTATGTTAAAAATAAGCTCTTGTTATTAAACTAGATGCTTGTAATCTAACCTTAGCCACTGTGTATCTCTCACCGTCATACAGCTCAATGTCTTTTCTTTCCCTGATCAACATGTGGACATTCTTGCTTCCAGTAAAAAGATAAAACCGACCTTCAATGTACCTGAAACGGAAAACAAAAAGACAATTTTTTAGTCCATGTTTAGAAGAAAAACTGTTCAACAATTTCACTAGTCCATGGATTTTTTTTAACAATTCTTTATATACTGTACTGTATTTTCAAAAACTTCATCAAATTTAAAATTGACCCTTATATAATATTTTTTTATATAATGCCTCCAAAATCTGTTAATAAATATACTGTAAGGTACATTTGCTGGCCTCACTGAGGCCACTAACGCTAGTGGCCCTCAGGTAATTTCAGGTAAATTATGAAAAATAGTTAAAGTATAGTAATTAACATAAGTTATAATAATCTGATTAGATGCTCAAGCAAAATCTGCAGTAAATCAAACAAAGGAGAAATATATATCTTCTTTTCTGGTTAGTACACACTACAGTAAGTCACCACCCCTTCTATCATTAAGCTATTCCAATACAGTACTGTATCTGCCATCACCAAACTGTTCAATGAAGAACATTTATTATTCTCCTGCTGATCAGGAACTGTACACCTAGTCGTATGAAGCAGTGGGGTGCAGCCAGGGATGTTTCATTGATTCTATACGAGTTAATTCATTGATTCTATACGAATTGATTCAATGGCTAGTGTTCAAGATGCTGTACTGTTAATGGATAAACCAAAAATGGTATCTTTAATTTCCCTTCTATTGCACTACTATTTATCTTCAGGCTGATGCATTCCCAACCACTGAAAATAGGAAATGGGGAGATATGATATTTAATGCTAAATAATATTTCAATCTGTTTGTATCATAACTGCAATGCCTTGTGTATACCTCATAAATCACATTGTTCCTACATATGAACTCCTGACACACCTCTACCAATTTATTGCACAATCTATTAAATCAATTACATTTATAGTACAGATACTTAAAATCTCATTTGAATTAACTGCCCCATTCCCTCCTCTCCCTCAATTTTGTTTAAGATTCAGAGTAATTCTATACTGTATCTTCTGGACATTAGAACAACGGTCTCGCTTCATGCTCATAAGTGTTCAATCCATGAGTGTTTAAGTGGCTTGGCACCATTCCTCCCCCCCCCCCCGTCCCATCCAGTCCCAAATCCTTATCCTAATCCCTTTCAAGTGATCATACTGTAGTCACAATAGCTTAACACCTCCTCCTGATAGTTCCCTTCCCTTCCTGATCTTCATGGAAACTATCTGTTATTTATTGGCAGTATTTTTCATGAAAGCCCTCCTGATAGTCAGAAAATAAGTTTTGTCTAATTGTATGCAATTTGTTAATAGTGTACTCCCACTGCCAAACAACAAACTGCATTATTCCTTTATCACTGCCATGGGCTGTAACCTTTATAAAGAGCACTATAAACCACCATACCTGCCACTGAAGTGAGCTGCTTCTCCATTCACTTTATTCATACAAACAACTTTGGAAGATGTGCTGGGATCCTCTAAGCAATATTGTTTCCATAGATCATTATTTTCTGGCTGATGTTCATCTTCATCTCCAACACCACCTGTAAATTTTTTATTGGCATAGATTACCACATCAGACTTGCCCTTGAACTCCAAGATTGTTGCACCACGAGGAATCTGAAACATAATATGAAATTTGCCATTAGAATTAATCTAATGCTATACTAAGAGCTTTTCCTCCATAAATATGACTGTTAATACAATAATATTAATGATTCAGTATAAGCTGAAGTCTCCCTCCAGTATTGTTGGAGATGCGAGGGTAAGCTCTCACTGGGATTCTAACATGCAACATGAATTAAAATTGTACGTCTTTCTCTTTCCATCTGGTCCACTTATTTATGTGTATGTTAACTTGGCTACGGCTCTGGGAGAGTCGACTAAACCTGTCAGTTTTTACAATGTTTCCTCTTGGTTATTTCTGCTTGATCCTGTATTCCGCTCTCTTGACTCTGGCCCCAAATCTTTACCTTTTTAATGCAGTACCTCATAGTTAATTCCTGTTAGGTTTCTTAATGGGCATTTGTACCAGTGGTTCTGTATTTAGGGAATGATGATCATGTTTATTCAGCCTTTGATTATTGGTAACCCCCTTATGTGGCATTTATTTATTCTTAAGTTCAATTTACTTAGTTAATTTAATATACAGTGTTACCAGTTTATATGTTTGTTTTTTAAATTATCCTATTTTATATTTAAAACACTTTACAGTACAGGTATTTTAAAATTGAACTTTATTTTAACCCTTTTCTTTATTTTAAAATAAAAATTTTGTATGAATTTTATTTCAGACCTAGAAACAATTTTCTAGCCACAGGGCCAGATTTATAAGGGGGTAAAGGGGACAATTGTTCCGGGCTTCCCTGGCAGAGGGTTCCCTAGTCTTCCTTTATAAAATAATTAATATCTTACACAGCAGTACAAAAAGTAAAACTTAGCAGGGAAGAGCATAATTTAAAGAAATAAAGGCATCACAACACTTCATACCTTATCTGATCACCAGTAATTTTATATCACTTTAGTCTATATTACAAACTGAAAATGTAGTCTAAGTTATTCGAAGTTAATAAAACTGAGAAAAATAAAATCAGACAAGTGTCTTCTTTGGAACCTAACTTTTTTTGTCAAGCATATGTAGTTTATAACCACTGTAGTTTCCTGTACTTTTTTTTTATTTGTCGTGTAATCTAAATTCTATATGGAAGGCCCCTGAATTAAAAGTGCCCTAGAGCCCCCAAGATCTAAATCCATTACTGCAAACACAGGTCACTTTTCTAACTAATGATCAAAAAGTGCTTGATGTTCAAGGTAACTTTTCCCAGTTAAAGATTGCATTCTTGCCTTGTAAACAATTTCAACATATTATATCAGGTTAAACTTTTTATTTTAAGGTATTTTAAACTACAGCATATACTGCATATAAATTGCCTCATCTTTGGGAAACTTTACTTAAGATATACCTGTACAGTATTTTGATTTTATGGTAAAAGTCTGTTTTTTTAATAAAAAAATATTTTTGTTTGACTTTAACCAAATCACTATTATTCTCAATTAGATTTTCTTGTAAATAATTTAATTATTTTATTATACAACCAGTACAGTACAGTATAGCAAATTTCCAGGTGAAATCAAATCAAATAAACAATCAACTATTATCAAAATTATTAATACAACAATCCAAAATGTAGTGTATTAGGATAACATTAGTCAAGCTGAAAATAAAACCTACCAATTTGCGGACCTCCGAATCTTTGTTGTAGATTTCATCATCGGGGCCGTGGCCATTGACCCTGATATCGTGAAGGATGGCAGGGTTCCCGGTGGGTAGGATGCCTTCTGGGACATTAGCACTCACAATTCTTACCTTCTTTTTCTCTCTCATTTTTTGCAAAGCAGTGTCATACCTGCAAATGTCAGAATTCTATTTGGGAATACTGTACTGTTATTAAATACTAAAGTATTATACATTGTAATTAAAAACATTAGAAATAAAAGGGATCCCAGACTTACGAAAAAAACAGAAATACGAACGATTTTATATATCACTGTTTTTGTAGCAATCCGCTATACAAATCAACACTACCATTCCCCTTAATACAAACAGTGCTAATTTTACATCTGTACTGACATGTGAGATGCAACAAAAATGTCCACATGGCCCATTATTGGCATGCAGTGACCTATGCTACCCGCGTCAGCAGTACAGAACTAATATTCTCATATTCAGTGTAGACCCGCTGCATAATCTGTGGACCTTTTCAGTAGTTTATCAAGAAATTAATTATTATTATTATTAATGGCTGATAAGAATGGGATGTGTTCATTTTAAATGAAGTTAAAAAAAAATAAAAATAATGATTTTTTAAATTCTTAATGTACTGTATCTCATTTACTAGCACAATACAGTAAATAATAGGTAGCAGTAGACTTGGGTATACATAGTACCAAAACATGCTATGCATTGTCCCAATAGTACTGTCATTTTTTGTTATAACTTGCCTACCATTTTAGCTTATGTTGCTTACATACAAAGAATCTCATTTAGGTTTAAGTATGTAGGGCACTCTTATTATCCCATTACACTTGTATATATTCTCCTAATTATTTTTACATTTTCCCTGAAATGCTCCACATATTAGTGGCTTTACATATACAGTATATTGTACTTCTCTTACCTTCAAATTCTCCACTGTTCATGTATCATGTGCATGTACTTTTATAAATATTATTATTGCTATATTATTATTATTATATACAGTATTTGAATAATTGGATTATGCTGAAAGTGTCTTAGTCTTGTACAATATATGATAAAACTTATGGCATGACCACACGCATAATGTAGGCTTATACGACAGAAATGGTAGACGGCACTTACATTTCTGCAGCATAAAGACTGTTTTCAGCATAAACAGTCATCTTCTGTACTGATGACATGAATGATTTTGGTAGCTTCTTGTGCACCTTTTTTTTGTATACATCATTAAGTTCCTTCATTAGCACCTCCATAGACAGTGGCGAATCCATAGTTGTCACAAGCTATTAAATATATATATACTGTATTAGCAAAAAGGTTTACAGTACTGCATAAAAATTTATACTGTATTGTATAGTCAAAATAAAATGATATGCTATGAAATGAGGAATTCTGAAAACTTAGGTAAGCATTAGCAAATCAAGACAATAAAGGTGTAAAATAATTATCAAGTGTGAAGTGGAATGAATTTTCATTAAAGAAATACAGCCAATGTTATGTACAACTACTGTAAATGCTCTTCAGTCAGATTTGATCGAATAAGGTAGTCCCAGTTTTCATACCAAACATATGCAACAGCATTACAAATATTATGAGCAGTGGGTGTTTGGTGTGTGGCTGTAGGAGGCATAACAGGTCTGATCTCATCGAAACTTAATATACAGTACTGTATTGAACAATTTGGAGACTGTTGAATCTGATCAATTATTCAAGGGTTCAAATGTAACACATACAAGGAGCAATCACTTCAAACTCAAGTCACAATGTAGGACAGAATACAGAAGACGCTTTTTTCAGGGTTATAAACCCATGGATCCGCCTACCCGTCGAAGTCATTTGGCTGTTAGGGGAGGGAGTCTCTCCCACGATACAACTCACGACAACTGATAAACTCCTAGATACCTACTTATTACAGACAGAAATCACATCGTACACAAAACCATTCGCCAGTGAATTTTGAAACCTACTTAAAATAACCTAGCTAAACCCAATCTAACCCAATGTAACGTAATCTAACTATCCCAATACTGTACAGCCTAACCTAAGCTAATACACCCTAGCATTACAATATATGTATATGGTTTTAATAAAACAGAAAATAAGCTTCGTCGAATTGTCTCGTGTCCGAAACGGCCATACCCCTTTATTACTAAGTGAATATAGGCATCAGGTTAAAGAAATTCAGCTCAAATGTCTCATCCTGCTTGAGAATCAAACCTGGGACCATTTGTTGTGAACTTACTGTGTTGACACTGTGGATATGTGTTGTGAGTAAATGATAGGTGGGGTGAGCCTTTGGATGGTGGTGGCTTGGGCATGTGGGTGGGTAAGGGGTCCGTAACAGGGTGTGATCAAGTCGTACATAAGTGTCTCGACAAACCTCATTTTCTAATTGCCAAAACAGTAAATATATTTAGGTTAGGACGCTTTGGTTTAGCTTCGGTAAGGTTAAATGGATACAAATAATTTTGAACCAAAACGTTTTATTTATTTATTTATAAGGTACAATGGGTTTGTGAGATTAAATAATATTGGTATTTTAACAATCTTGCAAAGCCACTAACACAGTGTTTTGGGCAGAGTTCTCAATGGATTCTGAAACCTACCCAACACAACCTACCCCAACCTAAGCTAACAAACTCAAACATAATTACTTATACCTGTATATGGTTTTTACAATTAGAAAATCTATAAGCTTTATCTATGTCTATGTACGATTTAACCACACCCCAGGCAGGTCGGGCTTTAAAATAACTTAGTGAACAGTGTTAAATAGGAAGAGATGTCTATCCTTCCATAAAAAGAGATCTACAGTACATACTCAACTTAATGTTCAATCCCCCGGGCGGAAGAGCAACGGTTGGGCACGTTTCCTTTCACCTGATACCTTTGTTCACCTAGCAATAAATAGTACCTGGGTGTTAGGAAACTGTTGTGGGGAGTCCCCTAACCATTAGAATGTGCATACCAGACCCCAGAAAGAGCTGAGAGATACTATAATAACCTCCCAGATGATAACTACTCAGCTATCAAAGATCCACTCCAGTATAATATAACATTTATTACAGCACAAGATTTACCTTTCTTCTTCCCAATAAACTGGCTTATGTATCCAAAATATTTATCGTAGTGGTATTAGGGTCACATTTCCCGTATAAAACACCACAATTCTTATCAAGTCAGGAGGAGAGAGGCAGCGTCTCTATAGCTTGCCCTTCAGTGAGGTACTATGGTGGAGTACTGGTACACAGTTACTATGGCAACCATCAATATATTGATGGTTGCAGACATCAACGTAAACAAGCCGTCATTGGCAGCAACAATCAAAATTAGTCGCCCCTAAATCAACAACCATAAAAATTAGCACACCATTTTTATATTAATTATACAAAACAAATGTTTATGTAATTATCGGACCGTATCCATTCAAATTCTCACTATATACGTAGTGAGAATTATATATATATAATCCTTCCATATACAGTATATTGCACAATTCCAATGGATTTTGAGAAATCAAATTCTATTCTTGAATTAAAAGTTATTACCCTGTAGATAAGTATGTATATATATATATATATATATATATATATATATATATATATATATATATATATATATGAATGAATTGTTTTGCCCTATAATGGAATTTCTTGCATTTTCAATATTGAAAATATTAGCAATACACTGTACTGTATATACGTATGTAAATAAATAGGCTATAGTTTTTAAGGGGTGTATATATATATATATATATATATATATATATATATATATATATATATATATATATATATATATATATATATATATATATATATATATATATATATATATATATATATATAAATAAATAGGCTATAGTTTTTAAGGGGTGTATATATATATATATATATATATATATATATATATATATATATATATATATATATATATATATATATATATATATATATATACACCCCTTAAAAACTATAGCCTATTTATTTACATACGTATATACAGTACAGTGTATTGCTAATATTTTCAATATTGAAAATGCAAGAAATTCCATTATAGGGCAAAACAATACAAATCATAACTGTCGCAGCAACAACACAACTATGCAGCAAATTTGACAAAATTTAGAACCCATAAAACTTTCATGATCCAAAATAATCAAACGAATGTTTGACTTCAAGAAAAATAAAGTAGTTATTGAGCTTTTCAAGTCTGATGCGCCACCATCTGGACTACGGTATCCAAGCATGGAGACTTCCCCCTTCAAAAGGACACAAAATTCATCCCAGAAGTAAGTCAACTCTCACACTAGAACGGCCTCAGGACTAACAACGCTACAAACCAGACATGACTACCTAAGGGCCACTAAGATAGTTTTCTCCAAGGAGTGCCAGACCAACCAGGCTGTGGTGGATATGTGGGCCTGCGGGTCCCTCTAAGCAACAGCTTGTTGGGCCAAGTACTCACAAGTCAAGCCTGGCCACGGGCCGGGCTTGGGGAGTATAACTAGAACCTCATCAACCAGGTAACCCTAGTGGCCTCGACAAGGACAGAAAGCCAGTGACTTGTCGAAGGTCCCCCCATATGCCTTGGTATATTCCAGATAGATGACAGGGCTAATCTCGCCGAGAACTTTAAAATACTGAACAAATTGGAAAATGTTTAGAGTCAAAATCCACCACTCACTAAATGTTGCACAACAGGTGGGAGCAGCAGTCAGAAAAGCTAACCAAATCCTTGGAATAATCAAGCGTACTTTTGACTTCAAGGGAAAGAAGGTAATGATTCAATTGTATAAATCTCTGGTGCGCCCCCATTTGGATTACTGAATCCAAGCATGGAAACATCATTTGCAGATGGACATAGCTGCTCTGGAAAAAGTGCAACACCGGGTAACAAAAGTCATTCCAGAGCTAAGTCATCTCTCGTATCAGGAACGCTTGAATGCCACAGGGCTGACAACACTGCAAACCAGGCATGGCAGGGCGGATCTCATTGAAACTTTTAAAATATTGAAGAATTTAGAACAAATTGAACAAGTCCGGACAATTTCTTGAGAAGGTCAGATGTAACACAAACAAGGAGCAACGATTTCAAGCTCAACAAGCCACAATATAGGAACATGATTTCTCAAGACTAAAAACATGATTTCTTTTCACCCACAGGGTTATAAACCCTTGGAACCGCCTACCCGCCGAAGCCGTAAATGCCAAAACTGTGTTAAGCTTCAAAATCTACCTGGAAAAGATCATCAAGGCATATGTGCGGACCTTCGACAAGCCGCCGGCTTCTTGTCCTCATCGAGGCTACTAGGGTTAGTGGTCCTCGGGTAAATCAGGCATATTAATTAATCCAGACCACTTCTTTAAAAATAACCAGCCCAATGTAACCCAGGCGAGGGACAGAAACTTCAAGCTCACAGTGTAGGACAGATAACAGACTCATGATATCGCCTGTCCGTCGAAATAGTAAATGCCAAATAAAACAGTAGAGCTATATTTTATAATTTAGCTGGAGAAAATCCTCGGGAATAATTGGAGGGATATCTTGTACAAGCCACCGGCTTTCTGTCCCCGTCGAGGCCACTAGAGATAGTAGTCCTCAGGTAATCCATGTAGAAAATAACTTTCACCGACACTTATTGGAGGAGAAATTCTCCAACAAAAGTCATTAGGTCGGGACATAATTAGGTTAAAATATCAAATAATTGTGCAATAAATAGATGGTTACCCCATCGATTATACACGAAACATTTAAAAATTAAATTTACCCGTAATAAACGCCAAACAAATATGAAATTTAAAACAAGAAATTAAAAAATAAATATAAAAATTGACATAATTAAGAACAACATCTAAGCAAAATGCAAGCATAAATTCTCGCATGCAAACATATTTCATAACAACAGTGAACAATATATGTAATCCATAATTCAATTAGTTGGTCAAAATACAATACATAAAACAGTAATTAGGCTACTATAAATACCACAATTCCTTACTGAAATAGAAGATGCAATTCAATATATATAGTTAACTCACCTTCTCACAAATTATATGCTGCGTGCACAGTAAAACACTTTTGGATATATATATCACAAAAAAAAACCACTTAATATAACTTAAGTGCAAGTGTTATATATCAACGACACACAGTCAATTGAATTCGACGACGACGTCGCCTTCTTATATATATAATAATTGTGCAGCACAGGAACGTATATTAGAAACGCCCTCTTGACTGTACGTTCTGACATCATCCTGGAGTTGCCAGTATGTGCTGT